GACATGTCCAGAGGAGGGGCAGTGGTTTGGACATGTCCAGAGGAGGGACAGAGGTTTGGACATGTCCAGAGGAGGGACAGTGGTTTGGACATGTCCAGAGGAAGGACAGTGGTTTGGACATGTCCAGAGGAGGGACAGTGGTTTGGACATGTGCAGAGGAGGGACAGTGGTTTGGACATGTCCAGAGGAGGGACAGTGGTTTGGACATGTTCAGAGGAGGGACAGTGGTTTGGACACTTCTGTTCCACTCATAGTTCTTTAACTTTGGGCAGTTTATGATTGTATCAAAACAAGTCTAATAAAATATATAAAGGCATGGAGTGCATTGATAAAATTCACCAGTTTCAAAGTTTAGTTCTGTCTCTGTCATCTCTCGGGATGGCTGTCCTCCCTCCTACTGCAGTAAATGGACTGCTGAGCATCTGCTCTCGCTTATTGATTTAAGAATTATTTTGCAATAATGACGGCAAGCTGTTCGCTGAGCTCCTATAAGTGGCAGGAGCAAGGTCTGAGACAGAAACGGTTGAAGAAGAAGGACCACAAGAATAACAAAAAAAGTAAAGTTTGAGGTTGGAGGTGAGGGATGGAGTGGAGGGTCCATCGAGGTGATCAATACCTGCTGCAAATGGGAGCAAATTATGACCAATCGAACTCTTGTTGGAGAAGAGAGAGAGGGAAAAGTATAGAAAATCCCTCCATCTCAAACTGCAAGAACGAAGGTAAAAAAACGAGCTACTCCCGGCCAGTAACAGAGCATCCATCACCCCCTTCATACCGTGTTTATTATGCTTTTATCACACACTGTAAAGTAGGAATATTAGCATACTTCATCACCGTGACAGTTTGGAAATAAAACAGATGAGAAGTTAGTTTCTCAGCAGAGCAGAGGAGGCGGTTTGTTCACGCTCAGATATACAAGTTGCACCTAAAAAGGCCTGTAGGTCTGAGCGTTGGGTTTGTTTGGCAAACTGATGATCTCACTATATCACTGAGGTAATGTGGAAATGTATTGTAGCAGTAGAAAGATGACGAGATGAACCACGAAGCCAAATCAATAAAGTCTAAATGATAAAATAATTTGATCACAAAATATTGTAGGGTTGTAAAAGTGAATACTGTAGTTCCTCGTTTATCGCGGGGATCCGTACCCTGAAGACACGCGATAAGTGGAAAAACTGCAAAGTAGAGGTAGTATTACAAGTACTCAGTAGTAGATTCTTTATATATATAAATATATATATAAATGCATTTTTAACCCTTCCCACATGCTTGCAATGTGCTAAACAATGTTGCTAAACAGCTGATCAGCTGCAGCAGGAAGCTTATCCTGCAGTAAGAGCTGCACAAAGGTGCTTCAGGAAGCTTTTTCTGCAGCTCTGGAGCAGGTGCTAAATAATATGAAATAATTTACATTAAATACAAATTCCATGTTGATCATGCGGCTTATTCATCAATCAGCCAATTGTGTCTCATGTCCAATCTTATTTTGAAAAACCATGACAGAGCAAGTCTGCGATAAACAAACCGTGAAGTAGCGAGGGACTACTGTATTCTAAACAATGTTTCTAAACAGAGAGCACAGCTTGTCATGATTCCAGCTCTCTGCCACCTCTTCTCTTTGCCACCTGCAAGCGCTCTTGGCCACGCCCACTTCCCCACTCTGCATGGAAAACAGCTGATCAGCTGCAGCAGGAAGCTTATCCTGCAGTAAGGGTTGCACAAAGGTGGAGGAGGAAGCTTTTTCTGCAGCTCTGGGCTGCACAAATATGCAGCAGGTGCTAAATAATTTTAAATAATTTATTTTAAATAAAGTCAGCAGTGCATTGAATGATTCAGAATAATAACTGTAGATTTAAAAAAAAAAAGTCAAAATGATCAAATTCATTCACAAAAAAAAAAAAAAAAATCATCTGAGAACCTGTTTTGGCTCCAGTTCTTGTAGGAGTGGGTTCAGTTTCACTAATAGGTCCTGAAGTTATGCTTAATTTTTAAAGACAGGTCTGTACCCTTAGCGTACAATTACCCACTCATATTCATTATCTGTGTACAAATGTGCAGACTGTACAGACTTTTAGTACCAAATAAAAAACTAGTCAGAACAGAAACAGTCTCAAACAGAAAATGTGGATGGACTTGTTGGCAATTTATATTTGCAAGAAAAAATCTGAGTGTTTGGTTACAGCTTTACCAATTCCTGTCTTGTTTGTGACGCGTGTCCTGCACGGCCTCATTCTGAGCAGCATTTTTGAATTTTGCAGCCTATTTCTGTGTGCACTGTTTGCAAAACTGCACTCTAGCTTGTATACATTCTTTTAATGTCGCTCCCACGTTTACGATTTGTTCTACTGGAGAACAGTTTTGAAATAAAGAGAGGCAGATTGGTACTTTGTCATTAATTATTATAAATGTTCATGGCTGTAGTCTCGGATATTTTCTGTCATTCAGTGTCATTATACCGGCGTCAAAATCAGTTATAGTGCTTTACACTTTATGGAAACTTAACTGAAACAGGTTTAGGACATTATTGTTCTAAAAAATCTTTTGTGAGCCAACAACGCTAACCACTTGGCTGTCGTGTTGCCCAATGTATTGGCTCTAAAAAGTAATTGCCTGTTGCCAATTTCTAAGCCATTTGTTAACTTTTATCAAACAAACATTAGGTTTTTGGGATCTTAGTCTTGCAATGTGACATTGCATTTGCTTTAAATGTAACTAAACCCAGCAGTGCATGCGACTCCGAAAACAGAAGATGCAATTATTAGTAGGATAGCTACTTTGTATAAGAAATGTGATGTGGTATTTATTAGCAGCAATAAGAAGGTTTTACTTTGCACAACTTTGAACAAAAATGGCCCCTAAAGCAGACTTGGAGTAAATATTTGAAACTTTCTTTGAGCTGGATAACAACGAGGGACCGGGCGGCTCATGC